CCCCCAGTTCTGTGCTGTTATTCATGATTATACGTAGAATGCCCCCCTCTTCTCAGTTTCTTCAACCCTATCCATCCCCTTCCTTCCTCTCTGGTACTTCTCCCCTTCCACCAAACCTGGTCTGTTTCTGCTGGTCTGATTTTTCTCTTCTCTATTATTATGTTTATAGTCAGTCATTGTTACCTACTCCATCATTGTTTTCAGGTAGCTTTCTATAAATATATCTTGTTTTCTTGACTTTGCTCTTTCAGGGCAGGAACCATACCTCTTGTGTATGAGTATGTGATAAGCACTTACATCTTGATTGATTAGTTTTAAAATACAAATTACATCTGTCGAAATTTTGGATTCTTAAGGTTTATTAGGAAGGATAAAGAAGTACAAGATGTAAAGGCATCCCATTGAAAATCTTTTATATTGGAAATTGTTTAGAAATATTTAATAGAACAAGTCCTCTTAAATCTAAGAGGCGATAGAAGGAATGAAAAGAGGAACAATAATGTCTGTGCTTTATTTGCAGTTACTCGCTGCTAGGCTCTGTGCTAAATGCTTCATGTACATTGTCTCACAATAACCCCATGACGCAGGTGTCATGAATCAGGTCTCACAGACAAGGGTCTCTCCATAGTGTGCAAGTGGCAGAGCCTAGATTTCACCCCAGGTCCTGTCTCTAAAACCTTTAACCATTATGTGGTTCTGCAGGTAAAGATTGGAGGGTCCACTAGAGTATCTCAAACCTAGTGGGCTTTCTTTTCTTGTAAGTCGAGAGCAGTGTCTACCTCAGCTTCCAGGTCTTGCATTTTTGATGTATATTGTGCCACTTTTTAAAGCAGCATTCCTTCTAAGCTCTGGACCTTGGAGCAAATCTTGTAGACTTCTCGTGGCAGTTTCTGTTACTAAGAACAGCCCTGCCTTCTGGTGCCTGCCTTGCATCTCACTCCACATTCTGGCGAGAATACAGACCCTTCCTAATGCCAAGAAGCTATGTTTCCTTTTGGTGTTTAATGGTCCCCACAGTTGATCAGACACAAGACAAGGGACAGAGACAGGGTATGAGCACCTTGCAAAGGTGATCTTACTATAATCCCTATGCGTTATATAGTTTTATTTTATTTTATTTACCCCCGTGCATTATATAGTCCCATGGCATGCTTTCTAACACTTGAATAGAGAGAGACCAAGAGGAATGAAAGAGTTAAAACTGGGCCAAATGAAAGAGACACAAACTATTTCTGAATCATGTGAGTCAAGTACTGTGGGTGAACCCATCTTCAGTTCACATTTTCCTTTCAGTTTTCTTGCTAGGTGCTCTGCCATTTGATGGTTTGGATATCTTGGTTACATTTCCTTTTTTTTTCTCCTCTCTGGTGAATCACCTATAGGTACAGTTCTTTGGGCTAAACCTCTGGGATATTCTCAAAGTAGTATGCATAAGGATTACCCAGGTAGTTAAAAATATATATACTCTTGTGCTCCTGTTCCCAGAGATTCTGTGTTAAAAAGTCTTGAGTGGGGCCTGGGCTTTGCTCCTGTGACACAGATGCTTTGTGTCACACCTCTGACAGTGCACTTCAGCAGGCCAGCCTGTGATGGGAGCTGCAAGGCCATGAGCCCTTCTCAGTGCCCCTTCGCAGTGCAAGCCAGGTTTTGGCTTCCCCTTCTCCCTGAGTTCAGCCTTAGTAATGGCCACCCCACTGTGCTTTCTTCTAGAAACCTATTTGAGAGACTTAGAAGAGAAATTAACCCAGAACAAGCTCATCTTGAAGGAGGAGTTGAGAACCTTACTTCATTTGTGTGAGTCCCGGGATGATGTGGAACTGGCTAAAAATGTCATTTACAGGTGAGGCATTTCCTTAGAATTTTGCCAGCCTTTGTCTGTTCTTACTCTGTTCCATTTCCTGAACAATCTCATCTGCTTCCAAGGTTTAGGCATCACCTATGCACTGATGACTGCTAAGTCTCTTATCCAAATGCCTGACCTAAGCTCCAAATATTTATATTCATCCTTTTAGCAAACATTTATTGGGTTCCTACTGCATGCCAGATGATGGGGATAGAAAGACAGATAATCCATGTCCCAAGAAATCACCAGCCAATTCACTAACTCTACTTACACGTCCCTTAGGTCTTCACATTCATCTATACACATTTCTTTCTTTTGCTGTGTTTTCTAACTGACCAGCCACACAGGGCAGATATCTAGGAGCCTCTTTCCTCTAATCTCATTTGCTCCCCTGCCTGACAGGATAAGAAATCCAACAGCTTCCATGTTCTTGATCTCTCTCATCTCTAGCCTTCCTCTCTGTGTCCCTGTTTCCAGTGCCTTAGTTCAGGCTCAGCGTCTCTCACTTGAATCACTTCAGTGGATGCCTAACTAGTCTCACTCCTCCAGGCTTATGCCTGTTATGTTCTGTTGTGTCTGATCCATTGTTAGACTTTAGCATATCCAAAGGAACTCTCATGAAATCTTAGTCTGCTGTTAGGAAACCCAGCAAAGGCTTCACTCCTTGGGAGAAAATCAACAGCTTTCATTTTAGAAATTAAGTTCATTGCTTCTTTTCACCATTCTTTAAAGATATATTTCTATACATGGACCTACATTTATATTGTACGTTTACAGAGAGAAATACAAGGTATTCATATATAGAATATTGGAAGAATATATACCAAAAGTTAACTGTGGTTCTCTCGGAATCACACATTCTATATTTTTTGTCTAAATGTGTACCTTTCTGATTTCTCCAACTTGTCTATAGTGGACATTAGCAATTTTGTAATGTGAAAAAAAAATAATGTTATTTTTAAAAAGGAAAATAAAAAACAATTACAGGAAAACGCCCAAAAAGTAGAAAGAACAAATGTGTCGCAGATTCTGCTGCTTCACATGTCTCTTGCTGCATAACAAACCACATCAGAACGCAGTGGCTTAAACAGCCATTATCTATTATTTCTAACAAGTCTGCAGGTCAGGAATTGAGGCCCGTCTCAGCTGGGCGGTTCTTTGTTGGTGTTGACTAAAGTCACTTGCTCATCTACAGGCCACTGGGCTGAGCTGGAAGGTCCAAGAAGGCTTCACCTGCATTTCTGATGCCTCAGTGTTCCTCTACGAGACCCTCACTGTCCTTATAGTGTCTCACCATTCACAAGTCTAGCTTAAGCTGCACTAGCCCACAGCACACGTGGAAGCTGCAGGCCTTGAGCTGCCCAGAATTGGCACAGCTTCACTTCTGGTAAATTCTCTTGGTCAAGGCAAGGACCCTGCCAGCCCAGATTCACAGGAGGGGAAAGGACTGCACCTCTGGATGGATGGAGCAGTGTGAACATAACAGGGAAGGGAGGAATTAATGGTGGCCGTCTTTGGGCCTGTCCACCACTTGTATGAAAGCACTGTTAATATTTTGGTATACTGTTCACCCTTGAACAACGTGGGGGTGAGGGCTGCCGGAAATTCACATATAGTAAGTTATAAATTAACATTGTGGATTATAAATTAGCGTAGCAGATTCCCAACTATAGGTTGAAAATACATCCTTACCAATTATTTTCATGTAAAGATTTTATGATTTTGATAGGGTTTATTTTACATAGTTATAATTATTACTGTATATGTAATGATATTGTTTTCTAATTCATATTATAGCATAAATGTTTTTGCTTGTGAATCATATGCTTAGGAATCATATTTTAATGGATTATACCATATTCCATTGTAGTTAAGTGTTTTAATTATCTGTGCCCCTGTTGTTGAATGTCTAAATGATTCTTACTTTTCACCAGTATAAATTATGCCGTGATGAGCAACTCTGTGCATAAAACTTATTCTTTATTTCCTTTTTGGGTTCAGAGGGCATGAACCTTGTAAAGCTCATCACTCTAAACTGCTAGGTTATCTTCCAGAAGCTATACTGATTTATAGTCACACTGTATTAGCAAACCTAATTCTGTTACTTCAGTTTTATGAAGTTGAATCATTTAAGACCCTCTGCCTGCTTTACTGCCCAAAGCTTCAGATGTTTAAAAGAGCAGTAAAACAGGATGACATTTTGAACACTCTTTCCACTCTGTTTTTCTCATGGACAGTCAAAGTATGACTCATGGTTCCTTTATTGATGCTAGTACCTCTCCGCCCAGTTGCTGCCCTTCTCTCTACTTGTGGACAGCTGGGCCCGTGGGGAGGTGGCTGGGCCAGGGCCTAACCAGCCTGCTGCCTCTCCTGAGACGGGCGGCCCACTGCTGCGGAAGAGTAGGGGGCCGAAATATAAGGTCTTCATTGAGCCGAAAATGAGGAGCAACTTAATCCCATCCTAATCTTGATCGCATTGGTTTACTGAGGGATTCTAGATCCGCTGACTGGAAAAAGGTGATACATTATCTCTGTGACTATCTAGGAATTATAATTAGTGTGAATTTCATGTAAATTAAGAAAACTTTTCTTTAGGCTTTGTTTTGTTTTTCATCTGGCATAAGTTTCTCATGAGACTATTTACTGAAATATATTGATTTTTAAAGATGTTTTCCTCAGCATGTCTTACATTTTATAAGCACTAACATATATGGAAGACTAGCTGTGTTCCAGGCATATCACCTCATTTAATCCTCACAAAAACACTGAATTCTTTTCTTATTTCCATTTTACAGATAAGGAAACTGAAGCACACAGTGGTTAATTTGCTCATGGTTACACAGTGAATAAGTAGGAGAGCTGGGATTTGAATTGTCAGTTTGGAATGAGAGTCTAAAAATCCTTATTTACTACACTGTGTTGCCTTTTAATAACTTATTTTTTTCCTGCTTTATTGAAGTGTAATTGACAAAAATTATATATTTAAGATGTAACAACTTGATGTTATGATATAACTTAATTTATAACTGTTGTAATGAAGCAATGAATATTTTTCATAGCTTCTAAAATTGGAATTTGAAATGTGTCTTTAAAAGTACACATTACCATTCTATTTGGTAGTTTAGAGGAGTCCCCAAAAATGTATACATGTTTTAATAGCTGATAGCTCAATTTTGAAAATAAAATGTATTTTAATAAACACTGCCTTTATAATTATTCAGTGTCTATATACATTTTTTTGGGACATCCTGTATATGTTTAGGGTGGACTATTCATAATGCTACTGTGACTTTCCTCAGTGATTTCAGCAGAAGGTTAAAAATTATTCTGTTTTTTAAAGTCAGAGCTGTCCCTGTGGTATTTGGGATTTATTCACAAAATGAATGAATTTTTCTAAAATCTGATTTACAGTAATCATGACGTGCTTGTTTTGTTACCACATTGTCTTCGTAGTGTCTAAAGCACGAAGAGTTGGTTATTGAAAGTGAAGTGGTGCTAGCCATTTGCATTCCTGTAGTTCTAAATGGCTAGCCATTTGCATTTCTGTAGTTCTAAATGGCAGGCTGGCCTCTGGAAGAAATCTCAAGCCACAGATAAGACACCACTGCCTTTGAAATTTGCCTTTTCCTAAAACTAAATCTCAAACCAGCATTTAGCTTGTTTAGCTGGGTGATTATAGCTCACATATGCCTTTCCCAAGCTTAGGGAAACAGATTGATATAAATTGTAAAATGCATCTGTTGGTTATCTGCCATCCTAGATGCAGATGAAGCCAGTCTTGATGGCGACAGACATCACCCCACCCCTGTCCTTTGCCCCTCTGTAGGTGGGGCCTGTACAGAGACAGTGCATTCTGATGGACTACAGATGCAAGACCCCTGCTGTTCCCTGACGACATACGCTCACACTCAGTCAATCCCGATGGGTTGTTGATAAATGGAGAAGATGATTACAATGCACATTTTCTTCTCTGTTATTTCACAGGGTGCATGGGCCTCCAACAAACCTTGCTTGCTTACTTACTTATTTAGACACCTGAGGTATTTCTGCACCCCAGGATCCCTCTGATTATCTTCAGTTCTACAAGCTTCCCTCCAGACTGTGAGAGTACTCATTCTTTGTGTCCCCAACACCTAGCAGAGTGCATGCCAAGGTCTGTCTGTCCTCTATCCTGCATCACACCATTTGGCTCATTGAATCATTTTGATTACCAGGTACCATGCAGAGAACAGAAATGTCACTTTGGGGGAATATAAGTTCGGACCACTGTTCATGAGGTTGTGCTACGAGTTGGATCTCGAGGAGTCTGCATTGGAGCTCATCAAAGACCAGGTTATTGTCTCCTGATTGCCTTCCCTGCCAGTGTGATTTCCTGGTGCTGAGGATGAGGTGTTTTTAATGATGTCAGCAAAGGCATCTCCCATATATGCATTTTTATTAGAGAAAGGCTGCTGAATGAGCTCTTCCCCACATTTTAAGGTTCCTTTGGAGTCAGTTCAAATCCTATGAAGAGGGGTAGGTCTCTTTATACAGAGGCATAGAACAAGTGTGGAGGAGGTGTGGGTACAGACTAGAAGGTATCTGCGTACCTTGGATGTGTGTCCACCTGGGACTGGCATCCTGCTTTTGAGGAGCTTTTCCGGGGGGACAGTTTAAGACAGGCTACCATTTTAAGACGGCCTTTCCTGTCCTTCACCTGTCCTTTTTGTATTTTCTGGTTGAAGACCATGTTGTAAAGTGCTTTTCCATTTTCAAAATGCTGTCATGTATTCCAATTTTCTTTTCCTAAAACAATGAGAGCAATAATTATTTTAAAATTATTTATTGAATATTTACTATGTCCTCAGCTTAAGCACTTTATATATTTCATTTGCTTCCCACAATAGCCCTGGTGAGCAAGATGCAATTATTATTTCCATTTTACAAATGAGGAAACTGGGACTCTGAGACATTATAAATTTATCTATGGTCAGAAACACTGGTTAAATTTTGGGGCTAGGTCTGGCCACCTGGGACATTTTAGTGTTTTTAGGGACTGCCATAACTAAGTTGTCTTTCTGCCTCTTACTGTTTTTCATGTATAGGGTTCTGTCCATGGTGGAGCTGCTAACTCTCGGCTTGCCCCTCTTCTAAGAACACTCATGCATTAGAAAGATAAGCATACTATATTAGTAAGCAGAGAAAAGGTGGTTTCAGAACAGTGTGGATTAGCTAAGCCTACTTTTTCTAAAAGAAGAAATACACATACATATTTACATTTCAGTATATATATTAAAAATCTGGAAGGATAGACACTTAACTACTGCTTGTCTGGGGATAAAATTGTAGGAAATTCTCACTTTTTACTTTATACAAGTTTGTATTGTTTGACTGTTTTTACAATAAGCATGTGTTAATGTTGTAATTAAAAGAAAATGAAAGTTTTACTATAATAAATCTAGGAGTATAGTGATAAAAACATAAAAAATGAATGTAAAGCTTTTGTTTTTGTTTTGAGTTACCTGTGTGTGAAACGTTCACGTATGTGTGAGTTTCCTGGCCTTGTGAAATACACTGAGTTTAAGTCAAGTGACGTAAAACCTAGTCCTTTTTTGAGAACCCTGGGGTGTGGCCAGTATGGTAGCCACTAATCACGTGTATCTCTGGAGCCCTTGGCCTGTGGCTATACGTGTGAAACACAGGGTGGGGCAAAAGTAGGTTTATAGTTGTTAGTATGGAAAATAACACAATAATGAATAAATAATACAAGAATAAACTCTGTGTTTTGCATACTCACAACTGTAAACCTACGTTTGCCTGCCCTGTGCATGATATATTTCAAATACTTGCTACGAGAAAGAGAGTGTATAGTCCTTTTTAGTGATTTTTTAAATATTGATTACATTCGATGTTGAAATTATATTTTGGACTTAGTGAGTTAAGTAACATTATCAAAACGGACTTTATGTATTTTTTACTTTTTTAAATGAGGCTACTCGAAAATTTAGACTCACATACACTGCTTGCACTTGTGGCGTGCAGTAGTTTTCCATGGACAGGGCTGTTCCGAGGCTTCCCATCACACTTAGAGTCAGCTGAGACCCCTCCACGTTACCTAGAGGCCCTTGTGGTCCCTCATGCCTGCCACTGCACCTTGCTCACTGCAGCCGGGCCTCCTCTCTCAGACACGCCAAGCCTGCGGCCCGAGGCTGGAGCCCTCTGCCCGCCTCGCTGAGCCCTTCTCCTTTCCTGCACCCAGGTCTCCTCTCGGAGAGCCTCCCCGCCCGCCTCGCACCGCCTTCCCTATCCCTGGGTCCTGTTCCAGTGTCCGCATGGCTCCCACTGATGCGTGGAGTTGCATTTCTGTGGTCTCGCTTGCTTTACTCAGTTGCTCCTGGTCTTCCCTGCCTTAGTCTGAGCTCCCGAGGAGATGAGCCCCGCTCGCCGTCGGGGCCCGTGCCTCGTTCCTCACCTCTCTGCCCTCGGCACCTGGAACAGGGCCTGCGTGGTGGGCGCCAGAAAGGACAAACGAGCGAGGCACTCACAGCATATTTCAACAGCATGCCATTCAAAACGCAGAGAACGTTTTAAAAATGTTTTAGTGAATTATTATTTATTTAATAATTGTGATTATTAAAGTGAATTATTTCAAAGTCAACAATCAACTGTATTGTTCGTTTGCCAGGAGAAGATCTTAGCTACTTTAGACTTTTCTGCCTTAGTCCTCAATTACGCTTCTAGCTGCCATTTCATGTCAATACGCTGCCACCCAGGTCCCAGGACCGCCTGCCAGGGTTAATTGGCTTGTTTCTTTCTCCTAAGTGTGGCAGAAGCACCTTTCATGAAAATGTTGTTCACCTCATTCCTGAAACCCAGAGACCTCTTACTGGACCTCTTGTCTCTTGTTTAGTGTGCCCATTGCCAAAGGTGTACACCCAGGAGAGCGGGTAGTGTTTTAATTTTTTTGAAAAAGAAATCCTTGGTATATCAGAAACTTACTAGAGAATTCAGGAGCCCCATGAGTAAAGTGGACAAAAATAAGTCCTGGACAGATAAGATGCACTGTAAGGAAAATAATCCCTAATAGTTCTAACTTTTAACCAAACTGTATTGTTTTTCTTCGTTAGCAGTTACAAGGTTTCTTCTTAGACTCTACATCATTCAATATTCTGATGGACATGTTATTTATGAAAGGCAAATATAAAAGTAAGTATTACAATTTATGTTTGCTGAAAAATTCTGCTCTCTTTGCTGGTACAGCACTTAGGAAAAGCAATGGACCGTGCACAAATGACCTTTACATTCCTCCTCAGTGCCTGAACTAGGGAGACCTCATCCTTTACGTGTGAAGCATTATTGCATCGTATGTCATGCTTTAAATGAAACACCCCAGATTTTACTTACGCTGACATGATAACAGGTTTTAAATACCTTCCTGTATGACCTGATTGTGAATTTTGAAATTTAGTTAATTGCTAAATGACTTTGACAAATAACTTTTATTGTGCTAAATACATTTTTTAGTGGGTGGTGCTGATTAGACCTCTGGGGATCAGCAGTAGAGGACTGAATTCACTAGACTGCATCTAACAGTGCCAGCCCACTCCTGGCTTTTGGCAGGTGCTTTGGAAGTATTGATCGAGATGAAAAACCAAGATGTGAAGTTCAGCAAAGATACCTATGTTCTTGCTTTTGCCATTTGCTACAAACTGGTAAGACTCTCTCCTATTAACCTTTAGAGCACTGTGGATAGTGTTTAAAAGAGGATTTGTTTTTTTTCTCTACAATAAAATTTAGCTTCTCAGAAGTCTGTTTTCCATCTGGTGTGGATATTTCCATTTTAAATGTGTTTGTTTTTAGAAACCTTGAGTTAGCCACGTCAGACAGTTTTATTATGGGGAAAGCAATTTTGTCATCTCTCGCCCTTCCCTGGCAATTGCACAGAGAGTGAGAACAGGAAACAGTATGCTGGGTTTAAGCTCTGCTTTCGAATGGTCTAGGCTCATGCTGGACTCTACTGGTCTTTAATAAACATATGTGACATTAAAATGAACTTTTTGGGGAGAACATGCCATTTAAACTCTGGAAGCTTAATGAAACCTTTTTATGCTAAAAACAAAGGAACACCAAGCAAGGCAGAAGAACATGGGCCATTGAAAAACTTCCCTGAAAAATGTAGCAGTACCAATTTTCCAAAAAAGAGGGGTAGTTGGGTTATAGTGCAGAAAGAACTAACGTGGAAACGGTGAAACTTGGAGTCTGGTCTCTACTTTCGCATTAACTGGCTTTAAACTGGTCACTTTCCTTATTTGTAAAATGAGGGGCTTGGATTCAGGGGTCAACAAACTTACTTTGTAAAACGCCAGATAATAAGTATTTTAGGCCACATGTGGTCTCTGTCACATATTCTTTGTGTTCTTACAAACATTTAAAAGGGTAAAAACCACATTAGCCATAAGCTGGATTTGGCCTGAGTGTCATAGTTTGCTGACCCCTGGGTTATTAGATGCTCCTTTCCAATCACACCGTTCTGTGATTCTGTGAAACAGAAGGCCAGTAAAACTCACAACACTTCAGCATCAGCTATTCAGCACTGTGATACCCAGTTTTCTGACCTACTTAGAGAGGCCTCCCTGAGTGTATATTGAAGTGGAGAGAATTTAATTCTGCCACTGCCAGAGGGCCAGAGGACTTTTCTCCCCTGTGCTGTGTCCAGGAATAACTTGCTTCACTCTAGAATCTGGAGGTGAAAAATCGAATGGGGCAGCCATTCCAAGTGCCAAGCCAGTTCTGGGGACTGTCCTCTCTCGTCAAGTTCAGGTTTTAGTTTAGGATTTGAGTTGTGAGTTGTGTCATGACAGATTACATAGATGCAAAGCTGATGCTGCTCTCATAACCTAACCTACCGACAGCACGAACCAAGAAGAGGATTCGGCTTTGCCATTGCTGCCTGCTGGTTTGTGCATCACTCACATTCTTGGAGGGTGTTTTTTTTGTGTGTGTTTCTTTTTAAAGTTTTCTATTTTCTGGGATTCTTTCATGATTAATGTTCCAATTAGTGTTTATATTTTCAGATATTTGACTGTGGATATTTTCAGATTGGAAGGCCCCTCAGGAGAAGTTTCCCTGTGCTGCCGAGCTATAATACTCTATTATGGAATACAGTAGCAGGCTAAATCTCTATACTTTTATGTTATGGGCCTCATGTCTAGAAACCCATCCACTCAGATACAATAAGACCTGTATGTTTGCTGGCGAAACTCCACCAAGTCAGAAAATTGACAAAGAGCTTTAAAAATAAAGTTTGTTTAGATTTGAGCCGCTAATATATTGATAACCTGGTCTATTTGTAAATCGTCTCTATATGGTTCTTAATCATTTAATGGGCTTAAGATAGGGTCTGGGAAATTCTTGCAAAAGGAAATCTAAAATACTGAGCACTAGTGATCATTTTATTCAACTTAAAGCTTCATGGCATTTGTTGATTGAGCAATCCCATCTCCTTCTAGAATAGCCCTGTGTCTTTTAACGTCTGTGCTACGTTAAGGGAAGAAGCCCTAATCAAAGGAGATGTCCTCCCCAGAAGGGCGTCTTGTTTTGCTGTGGCGCTGGCTCTGAATCAGGTAAGGCTTTGGGGTGCACATAGGTGAATTGGGAATGGGCAGGACGTTACCACTTTCGTTTCTTTTATTTATTTATTTTCCCCTTCGGACTGTATCATAAAGAAAATGTCCCTATAAAGAGACCAATGCCTTTGGTGCCATGGCAACCTGCATCTATACCTATGCATCCAAAGAATGTTCCTGTATACAGTTAAGGACATGACATGAATTGCTGTTCGGAAGGGGCTGGCTGAGATCTTGTGGAGAATCAGTGAGGGAAGCCACCCTCTGAGAGAAATTTCTCAAGTAATTAAAATGAAAATTTTAGGTGATCTGTTTACTATGTGACATTCTCAGAGAAAGTTTTTTTTAAATTTAATTTAAAGCATTTAATTTAATGCTCTCCAAAGCCGAATTCACCTCAAATGACTGAGGACTCCCACAATGAGCCCACTGTAGAACTGGGGTCCCTTATACAGTTCATAGTTAGACCCAGATGCTGTTATTTGGAAGAGACGTCAGTGATCGTTTAGCCTCCCCCCCTCACTGAACTAATGGAAGCTGAGGCCCAGAGAGAAGACAGGACCTCTCTGTCTCCACCTCAGTGAAGGACAGTTACCGCTGGAACCCCGGGACACCCCCTCTCTTGAAGCGCCCTCTCAAGATGTCCTATTCCAAAGCCAAAGAAAATGTGAACTACTTTACAAATACGCACAGGCTTTAATCTCCCTGGCCGTTGGGAGGAGGCATGGGATTGGTTTTCAATAAGAAGTCTCTTCGCTGCTGCCACAGTGACATACTGCTTCCTGCACATTGGCTTGTCTATGTCAGTCCTTGATTAGCTTCACCTTTGCCACCAAAAGGATCCAGAGAATTTCTCATTACTAGTCCGAAACTCTGTTACCATCATTAAACAGGCATTTAGGCTTTGCACTCAGGTTGTGCCCCTCACCTGTGACAACCGCCTTGCGGGCTCTTTCTGGGGCAGGCAGCGGCGGTCTCCTCTCATGGCTTTCCCTAGACTAGCCTGTGCTCCAGCACTAGGGTTTCCACCTCTTCGTGGTGTGAGGTTTCTGCTATGTTCTGATTATGTCAAAGATTGTCAGAGATAGGTGTGTTTTTGTTTTTGTTTTTGCAAGCTCATTTCAGTGGGAGAAGGGGAAATGTAAACTTCATGCTTCCCTCTTAAAAACTGGAACTCAGGCAGGGTGTTAAAACATTTAGTAACGTGACACTATAGGACACATTTTATAGAATGTTCGTTCTTGATTACCAAAAAACTTTTTTTCTTTGTGGACCTCAAAACCCTGGTGCACCATGAACAGGAATATCCTGACATCTTTAAGTGATCTTCCTGATAGCAGAGTAATGTTCATATGACGTAGGGTATAACTTGTTTTTCTTCTTTCTAGAACCAGGTGGAAAAAGCTACATCCATTTTTTCTCAAATCATGAAGCCAGAAAGCATAATCTGCACTAATTTAAATGTAAGTGACTTCTTTATGGTTTAAAGAAAGGCTAGAAATGTACTAAAATGATGTCTGGAGTTTTTTGTCTGTGTATAATGACTTTTGATCTCTCAAGAGCTTCATTCAATTCATTTGCTGAGCTCTGTGTGAAAGTGACATTGTAGCCCCTGTGAGAGGAGTCAACACAGCCTGTGCTTCCAGGAGTTTGTTGATAGGTGGGAAATGTAGATATGCTCAGATATAAGGCATGGCTAAATGCTGCAGGCATAACACGTGACTACCAAAGGCGGTAGATGTAGAGAGAAGGGAGATAGACCCTCCAGTCTCTTTACTAAGACTTGAGAGAAACCTGTGTGCTAATTGCATCCCGTCCTTGTACCTAACTCATGGAGTCAGTATATCTGCGCTGCATAAAACGGTGCCTGACGTGGCGAGTGTTCACTCAGTACATGTTAGCTATGTTCATGCTTATACTGCCAGCCTGCCATGGCCCATCTGCCGCAGTGAGCAGTCACCTACCTTTCCTCTCCCAGGGCTGGGTGCCTCAGCAGAAATGTCGGATCAGAGTAGGTGGGTCAGCCTGTAAAGTTCATAGGCTCAAGCAGGGCTGGGAGGCCAAGGTGGCAAAGGTCCTGAGTCCATGGTTCAGGTCATTTGAGCCAGCAATACCGGTAAGCCAAACAGCCTAGGAGGCCCAGGCCTCCAGCAGATGCCATATGTCTTGATCTTCTCTGCTTCCTACTGGATGTGGACAGCGTTGGGGATCCCAAGTATGTAACTGCTGAGAGAGAGAATGGCCTGTAGATGCCCTCATTTCATGATTGGACAGAAGTAGAATTACTAGGGTTCCAGGTGATTCATAGCATCACAGGAAAGAAACAGGGTAGTGTGGTGAGAGGAGTTCTATGTGGACTATTTAGAGTTGATGTGAGGTTGTAGGGATTAATAAGGATTGGTGGTGAGACATCGAAGGGAGTGAGATTGGCAGCATTTTAATATAGTTTAACTAAGGTACCATGCTAGGTACTTCATGTTTGTTGGTTCACTTTATACAACACTGTCAGAACAATGTCTCCATACTATAGATGTGAAAACAAAGTTTCATGGGGTAAGTAAATCACCCAAGTTCTCACAGTTAATTAAAAAGCAGAGTCGAGTTTTAACACCAACAAATCTGTTTGACTGCAAAGCCCAGGGTTTCCCCACCACTCCAGACCTACAGGTTCTGCCTCTTCTCCAGGACTGGGACTAGCTGCTCCTCCTGAGTAATGAACATAAGACTGGATGTCAAAATTGAACCTGCTGTAGTGCACATATTCCATGCCCTTGAATTTAGATTCCTCGTCTAGTTCATTCCTTGGCTATCTCTCACAGTTGTCATGAGAATGTAGTAATGATTTTTTTCCCCAAATGAGAAAGTACTTTGGTGGAAATAAAACATGAGCCTGCTGAGAGTGAAGCTGTCCACTCATAGGAGGAGAAATCCAGAGCATGGTGGGACGTGCCCTCACGAGCCAGGCAGCTGGAGCAGCTCCTTTTCTCTGATTGCTGGGAGGAAGGCAGCTGGTAAATGTGGTGGGACTGGCAGCATTCAGGCAAGAACTGGATGAGGGACCTTGAGCTGATCTTGACTATGAATCATCCCCTCCATGAATTGGGTCACAGAATTATCTGTTGTCAGGAAATTTAAAGATAGTTTTATTGTTTTAAAATTCTCACTTGGGAAATTCTCCCAAATGTCCAATCTAAATTTCTTGTATTTCAATATAAGCCTGTTTCATCTTCCTCAAGAATGATGAAAAAGAGAAAATTGCCATCCTCAGGTTTAACATAATCTTTCAGATTCTGGGTCTCAGTTACTAGAACAGGTTTTTTTTAAAAAATGATTTAATAGGCCCTAGCTTCTCCAAGGTTGAGTCATCCACTTAGAACCCTTAAGGGCAACTTGTTAGTTTTTAAGAAATGGAAGCCTGACAAGTAAACTGAGTAGAGAGTCTCTTCAGTCAATATTAGCAGGAATAAATGAAGTTTTTTTCCTGATCTACTTTAAAAATTCATGCCTTATACTAAATTTTTTTTTCTGCTGCCAATTTGAATTTGCATTTACCCAGTTATTCCCCCTCAATTTTCTTTTCACTGAAATTGCTCCTGCTGCCAATAAGACCTAGAGGGTCCAGCTTCCCATTTTCCCAGTTAATATGTGTTATATATGGCACTAATTTAGCAGATGATCTCATCAAAGCACATACATGTCGACTCTGTCCTTTTAGTCTAAATTTAAACCCATCCATCTCAAAAGAACTATGGCCCTCTTTACCAACGCTGTTCAATATCAAAGGATTAATTTCTGCTTTCAAATAAGTCTGAAAGTATCAGAGACCAGCACAGGTCAACTTTCCATGGATTCTATTTTATTTCTAATCGTTTCTCTAGAAATCTGGCAGTCTCTAAATGGAGGCTCATTTTGGAATTGAATTACCTTGCAAGTAATTTTGCAAGGTAATTACCTTGCAAGTTAGTTTTGCTGCTTTTTAAATTTATTTATTGACACAGGTGAATGTTTTAATGCCCTTTTCTATTACTACTTACTAAAGCCTCTTAGGCTGCACAGGTAGGACATGAGACATGACTCATTTCTCATAAATCCCTTTGTGGCAGCATCTCACCTGTATGTATAAGTTAAGAGTTGCTTTTGGGCGGGAACGGTGTAGACTCCAGAATCACAAGAGTTTGTACAAATGAGAGGCTTTCTCTTTCTCTCATGCGGGAAACCAGAGGTGGTCAATCTAGGGCTGGTGTGACTTCCTGTGATGTCCTCAGGGACGCAGCCTCTTTCTGTATTTCTGCAGCACCATCCTAAGCAGGGACACCCAGCCATTGCGTCGCTGTTCCAGCAAGAAGGAAGACTGGGGAGGGCAAAGACGCTAGCACCTTTTAAGGAAGCTTCCCCGTTGTCAGCCAGCAGGTGATGGTTACATGTTGTTGGCCAGGGCTTAATCCCAGGGCCTCACCTAGCTGCAAAAAACCTGAGAAATAGGGCCTTTGAGTTCCATATATGATGGCATCAGTTAAAATTAGGGAGTTCTGTTATCAAAAAAAGAAGAGCGAATGAATATTGTTTAGAAAACTAGCAGCCTCTACCACGGTATGATATTCTATTTCAAGTATAGCAAACTTTAGAAGAAAATAAAAGAAAAAAGAAATGCAAATTTCTGGCATGCTTAGGGCTTCTTTTTTGGTCAAAGGTATCCAATGATTTGTCAGCATTTCCTGACGCCTCACAAAATAAGAGGGTAGGAAGTATATGTTCTTTTATTAGTTTTTCGTACCAAAATTCCCCGTGCTCCTTGCTAATTCAATTTTCCTAGCCTTTTGTTTGACATCTGTAAGATTAAAGCAATGTGCTGTTCCCTGATTTAGCTTTTCTTAATTGCACCCTGAAACTTCAGTTTGAGACAAGCTCCTAGCTTTAAGTTTTCTCTTTGCCTTTCATCAGTAACTGCCTTATCTATTTTGCCCTTCATCAGTATATTCATAAGGTATTGAACCTTATTCTTGAAATCCCTACAGAATCAGAGATAGTTGCTGGAGGCAAGGAGAGAAATTGGGAAAATTTATGAAGAAAAGTTGAAATCTCCCAGGAACACATCATTAGTCATTTCTATCATGGAGCCCCAGGAGGTTTATCCTTGAAAATTGCTGTGCTCCCCTTCTCATTCGTTATTATTGAGGGTCTACTAGGTGCCAGGCACTGGCGATGTTGCGTTTAACAAAAGTAGACTTGTCAATAGGACAGCCCACTGCCAACCAAATGCAGTTTTTTTATCCACTATCAAGAGTGGATATTTTACCCTCCTTCCAAACTACGAGATAGCCTGCTACAGTTTCGTGGATCCTGGTAAAGTATATGAGACATCAGGAAGTGAAGGACAGTTTATGACTCACAGCAATAGCAGTAGCCATACTATTAGCATTTTACATCAGTTCCCTGAGCCTTGATTCCCATAGGATGACGTGAAGAGGTCTATATGCCTCTTACACAGGGGCTTATATTTTAAGAGAGGAACCCTGAATTTGGGGAGCCCAGATATCTTATAATGGGCAGTAATTATCCCTGCTCTTTGTTCTGGATGACACACTATATGTGTCTCTCTTCCCAGACTGTTGGTTATACAGACATCCTTGAGAAGATAGTTTGGAATAAAGGCTGTTAGTGTTTCTGCTCAAATGTGAGACCCATGGAGGATTGTCTCTCAACAAGGGGTGTGCTCATGATTTCGCCTGTGCTTTAGAACACTGAACTTAGATCGGGGCCTTGGGATTTAGTCTACTTGAGACCATTGCACTCTGTCTTAATCAATTGCTCAACAAACATAAAATGTTAGAGGTGGACTATCGAGAGAACTTCACTGGTTTGGTATAGAAAAGAACATCTCTTCCAAAAAAAATACCTTTCCTAAGGATCAAGAGCCTTAAAAATGTTTACACCCTTTGACTTTGTAATTTCACTTCTGGGAATTAAGACTAAGAAATTAAGTTCATTTTAAAAAATGTATGCACATTTATCAATATGATAAAGGATGATATTAATTTATTTGATACATTATTTTAGTTATATGATGGATTGCTATGCATGCACATTCTTCATTATAAAAGAGATTTTCTTTTTTTCTAAAACTTTTTTTTAATGCTATAAGAAAATGTTCCTTGGATAATAATTTACAAAAAGCAGAATCAGATTTTGGGGAAAATTAATATATTTGGAAGATAATACTTGAAATTATAAACAATGGTTAACATTGGTTGGTAAATTCTGAGTTATTCTCATTTTATTTAAACTTTTCTGTATTTTTCCAATTGTCCTAATGAACATTGGTGATGAGTGAGGACAATGTGTTCCTTTTTCCTTGTGTGGTTTCTATCTGGTGGAAGGTAGTTAGTAACATCATTTTGAAAGCCAAGTACAGTACCCAGTTTTGACAGTTCCTTCATAGCAGCAGTACATGTCGAAGTGCCTCACTAGGACCTTCGCTAGCTCCCACTGTTACATGCAGCAACCTGTGCTCCTGGAATTTCTCAACCAAAAAATTATAAGTAAAAAAGGTAAAGGTATCATTTACCCTAACCCCCGCCAATCTTAAGAGATCGTCTGATTTCAGAGCCTCTGAATCTAGAGGCAATAGGGAGGAAGAGACTGAGAGTAATGCTAATTGAGTAACCTTCTGTGTGCTAGTATTTTATTTAGTGTTCACAGTAACTCAACATGTGAGATGTAAAGTTTTTTTTCCTCATTTACAAATAAAGAAATTGAAAGAGAGATTAAGTACTGGCCAGAGTCACACAGCTAATAGTTGCCGGTGCTGGAAATTTAGCCCCTAATCCGCGTTCTCTCCATTTCTGTGCTTAGGCAAGTCTCGCAGTTGTGGTATTTTGATTTGCCACTGGAAAACAGGTTTGGGCTGGCGGACATGCATTTGAAGCATTCTTTTGAGCTTGTGCAAGCAAATGAATTAGGAGATAGCATGAGAACAGGGTGGATGCCTGTAAACGTAGGCTTCTGCAGCGGTGCATTTCTCAGTGTGGAATATTGGCTCAGTCTTGTTTTGCATGTTTCTTACTCAGCTTATGATCCATATCCAGTCAAATATGTTGAAACCCCTGATAGAGATACTAAAGGATGCCACAGAGGAAAATGTATCAAGATTTGTGAAGAAACTTAAGTTCTCAGAAGAAGTGGTGAGTATGTGGCTGCTGCAGAAATCATTTAAAGCTGAAGGGCACTCTTTAAAAAGGCTGCTCCTCAGAGAGCTGGTAGAGAGGGCAACCTCTCCCTTGCTCCTATAGTAAGATTCCTCTGTGTGGGCACAAAGATTTTTTCCCTTCAAACAGAATATATCCTCCAAAATGCTAGGAAAGCTTTTTCCCTTTACATTAGTTATTCCTCCACACTGTTTCCGTGGGTCCCTGCCCCCTTTTTCTTTAGCCTTTCTCCTCAAGCCTCTGATACCTTCTCCCCTCTCTTCACTCTCCGTTGATGGCCTTCCTTCCTGTCTCGTGGAGGAAGCGGAGCCATCAGAAGAGAAATGCTGCCATCGACAGCCTTCCCGTGCTCTCCCTGTCTGCCCAGCCGTCCCTCCTGACCTTGTGTCCTAGAGCTCGTCTCCTCTGACCCACTCCAGCCAACAATAGGCTGTAGTCTCTCCCACCTTAAAAACAAATCTCCCTTATTTAAACAAAGGAATAGACATACCATGTGTTTAGGTAGGAAGGCTCTACCTCCAGATGTTAAACCATGTTAAAGCTTCTATCATAAGAATTGTTGTCTTAGCTGCTGAATAAATAAATGAATGGAACCGAATGCTTTGCACAATTCTAAAACACAATTAAATAAAAGTGAGGAAAAAGAAGCAATTTCTAAAAGTTGAAAGCAGAGTGAAACAGATGAACCCCTTAAGCACACACAGAGGAATTATAGGTCATTTGAAATTTAGCAGTTTGTACATTGTTCATAGTATAGAGCCTAAGGGGAAAAAAGAACTGCAAAGGAAGTGTAGATTGTTGTCAATGATCATATTGTTAGTGATGACATTGGTATTGTCATTTTGACAACAAAGGGGCCTGTGGGTTGGTCTCCCTCCCTGCTTTTCTCCCTCCTTCCCTCACTTTTATAGTACCGGTCCCGGCTGGTGTCCGAAGTGGCGGGACTGGCAATAGTGGCAGGTGGCTGCCTCCCCTCTGCTGCGCTGCTGCCTTTCAGTCCTGTCCCCGTTCCTCACTTCCACCCAAAGGCTTCTTCCTGCTGTTAAGGGGATATGATTGAGTTTAAAGCTTCTTTCTGTTTGAGGCCTTAGCTCTGTGTAGGTTGTTACCCACCCAAGTCCTTTTGGAATATGTTAGAAAAGCAGGGGCACTGGTTGTCAGGTGCATAGCTGTGTGCGTGGTACGCAGCACTGACACACGTCAACCAGTCATCCCTTAGATCTGGCCCATCAACATGCTGTCCAACTTTACAACTGAAGCATCCAAAGGAACTCCGCCCTGAAAAATACTGATTGTTTTTATCTGAAAATTTCCCCGAAAGCCTGTAAGACAGATTTTCTTAGAAACACACCCGGTGGCTCAGTGCATCCCTTGGTTGCTGTGAGGCACTCGGGGAACTGCTTGTTGTGAAATGAACTGACCCCTGTAACCCCGGTAGCTTTTGAGCTAGTTCTAAATATGTTTGTGAGATTGTGTGGAGTCTCCTATGGTAGAACTCCGCATTTTACAAATGCTCTATTTAGTGTTTGTACCAACTGTTACTAACAGTGCCTTACGTGTGGAGATAAGGTGGTTATGCTGCTAGAGGAATGTTGAGAGAATTGTTGATTTTCTGCAATGCTAGAACTGAAACCACTCAAAAAGCTATTTAGTCATTGATTTCTTTTTAAAAACTAAATTAACAAACAATGTAGTATAATCTCTTTTCTGCTTAACCTGTAGAATGGTCCTGATGACACCATTTAATATTTTTGTAGGGATGTGAGGGAACTGATGTTGTTTATACAATCAGAGCAACGTTGCCTCCAGCCCGGCACATTTGCTTTGCTTTTTTGGAAGCCATATGCTGCACATTAGGTCACTTTACCTTGAACATGAGGACTGAACAAGCTATTGCTGTTAAGAACATTAAGAAGGGCTTAAACTTTTTATCTGATGGTTCAGTGGGGAGCCCTTATTTGAAAGGAAGGTGTGCAGGTAACAAATAGGATTATGATATATTTAGAAGATGACCAAAGGATATGTTAGGGACCTTGGTTACAATGAAACGTCATCAAGAAATGTTGTTAGGTTATATTGTTAATAAGGATTAAACTACATAAAACATTGATCTTGTTCAGAAAGTAGCTTCACATTCTAATTTAGAGCTCACCCATTTTTGTAGAATTAAATACCATCCATGTACTTGTGACTCTGAGTCACATGCTGTTCCCCATGCTGCACTCTTCCACACCAACACCTCTTGACATTGCCCCTTACACGTCTCACAGGCACCTCAGTCACATCCGAAGCAGGACTCCTGGCTTCCCCCTGCAGGTGGGTCCTCTGCCTTCCCCATCTCAGTGAATGACGTCACCCACCCCCAAGTCATAAAGCCCACGTTGGAAAGGTGTCTTTGAGCCCTCCCTTTCCTTCACCCCTTCAACAATTAATCTTAAGAGTTTAACCCTAAAATATATGTCCTGTGCATCTACTTCTGCGTCTTTGCTATATGTTCCCAGTCGTAACTGTCATCCTCTCATCTGGGCTGTGGTGGGGCCTCAGATCAGTCTCCACATTCTTGCACCTCCCAATTCTCTACACAGCTTTATAAGCCGAAATCAGATCATGCCCCACATTGTACTCTCTGATGGCTTTAGAATAAATTCCAAAAAACTTACCATGCGTAACACCGACGCCAACATTCAGGCGATGGTTGCAGGAAGTGGGGAGAGGAAGCGAAGGAGAAGCAGGTGGCCGTAGAGCTGCGCATACTCGGGGGCTTAGAAGGCCCTCGTATTGTTTTCTGCCATCACCACAAGGCAATCTTGGCCGACAGGACATGGAGTGACGGGGCATAGCCTCACCGTTCTTGTGAGAATCTGCACGTTCGTCCTGTCTCTCAGGACTGATGGTGCCTTCATTCTCACCTCAAACACACTCTGAAAAGCTCCAGAATGGAAAGTGTTCCTAAGCTATCACAAAACATTAAAAAAAAAAAAAAAAGATTTTCAATCTCGGGGGGGAAAAAACAAATAACCTTACCATGCACCATAAAGCCCTACATAATTTGGCCCTGCCTCCTACTGTGGTGATTAAATTGGACAAACTTATTCCATTATTTTGTGAGAACTCCTTTTCCTGGTATGTTGTGTTGTATAGAATGTGCCATTTAAATCCCCCTTTTACGAGATATTGGGTATGGTTTTCAAGTACAGATTCTGAATTTTGTGTGTAGCTTGTGGAATCCCCTATAGCTAGTCATGTCTCTGTGCCCCAGTACCCTGGTTTTTACCACTATACACTTATATTTCTACACCTTTATGCCTGCTTCTTGGATAGAAAGAACAAAGAAAAAAGTCATGCATAGATATAATGATTTGCTTTTTTTTGGTATTTTTCCAGCTGGCTAAAGTGAGGGAAAAAGTGAAGGATGTGCCTGCCCTTCTGGCCACATATGACGAGCTCTATGGGAAACTGCACATAAATGGCCAGGTCACCACTCACACTCTGGATGCTCTGCTCTGCCACACCCCCAAACACCTGAAATCCCACATGGCAATTAACAAGAGGACAGTCAGCCGTCGGACCTTCCAGCCGCTCAGCCAGTCCCTGTTGGCTGAGTAACTCTAGGTCCAACCCCCCGAGTTGGAGGGGGCCTGCTTCTAGTGAGTTATTGGTGTCCTAAGAAATCAGCACTGGACTCCAGTGGACTCTGTACTAGCACTTGGTCTCCTGAATTTCCGTGTTCATTGAGTGCTGGTGTGCCGACCTGAGAAGTTAGTACATTGTGCCACTTTGAAGGTCTAGATACAAGTGAGCAGAAAGCTCAGCTCCCTCAGGAAGGAGACTTGCCCTGGCAAACTGCTGAGGATCCTTGAAGGAACGTGGTCATGGTCTCCAGTCCAGCTTCTGGTACCAGATACCCAGAGCAATAGTGGAAGGAATTGCACCGTAAGTGGTCAACTCGACTGAGTGGGGATGGTGGCTTGCTGGATTCAGACGTTCTGAATCCTTATACCACCATGCTGAGAAGTAGCCCAGGATTCTCTCACTGCTTCTGTCATCGTTTATCTGTGACCCCAGACAAGGTTCTTGAGCCTTCATGTTTCCATCTGTAAAATAATAGTGCCCATATGAACCCGTATTGATCTGAAATTTTCCTGCAAGTCTTAGTAGGGTCAGATTTCCTCAAAAATTAATAAAAATAAAAAAGGTTTCCCAGATTTCTTGGGATTATGTTTTTTCTCAGCAGCACAAACAAAACCAGAATTTAGCTCTCAGAAGTGGTAAGTAAGTTCAAATGATTACTGCTTTGGTCATAGGCAAGCCATGTGCTTTTCAAAAGAAGTGCCAGTGAAAACCACATAATGTCTCTGTATTGCTTAGTCCTCAGTGTGCGTCATAAACATCTGTTCCTATAGTTCATCTTGTTTGTTAATGTTTTTCTCTTTGGATGGTTTATATTTTGGTAAAAATAAATGTGTCACGGCAGCAGGTCGGTGCTTCCTCATACTGATGCGTTACTTACGGTCTGAGACGCAGCCCCTGGCGGGTTGTGCCTTGTGTTTCCAAAGGCCCAGCTGATGTTTGAGCCTCAGCCGCCTTCCTCGAGTGCTGCAGACCCTTCAGTGCTAACTTGAACTTCGTTACTCTGAGGCAAGAATTGTTCAGAGTCAGACATTGTAGAGGAGGAGGGATCTTCCGAGTCTCCTAATTTAACTCCCTTATCTTTCAGGGTGAGGAAATGACTTGTCCAAATTGGAATGGCTAGTTTGAGGTAGAGCTGAAATTCAAATCCAGATTACAGTCTTGTACCCTTCCTGTGACACCACATTATATCTTTCAGAGAAGAAAAGGGAGAATCTCTTCAGAGACAGAATATTAAGGCCTCCCACAGCTCACTGTGTGGCCTGGGCTCACCTCAGCTTCCTCACTTGTTATGCTGGGGTAATAGTGCCTGCCTCCCAGGCTTGGTGTGAGGGTGGAATGAGATACATAAAGCTAGCAGGACAGCACCTGGTACAAAGTAAGTGCTCTGTGAACGGTAACTTGCTGTTACTGTCAGCAGCATTTGCAATGTTTGCATCTAGTTGAAGAATTATATAAACAAATGAGTTCTTCCTCCTGCTCAGAAATATCAAAATAATTTCTTTGCTTATGCTCCATGAAACATTAGTAGCCCTCTTTAAAGAAAATTCTCTGCCTTCACAGACTCTTAATTGCATCTTGTGTGTCTTGTGTTTTGTAAAAAACAAACAACAACAAAAAACAAAAAAACCCTCCATCTGGATTTCTCTGTCTTCAAAGTCTTAGGGAATAACAGGGCATGCTTCCTGTCCCCCAACTTATCATTTATCTTCAGCATGTGTGAAGAGCGTTCAGATGACTGTTATGCGCTGGGTGGATGTGGACCTGGTTGTTAGAACCAGCAACCATTCATTAGCAAAAACAACAAAAGAGAATTTCATGAGTGATGAATGGCAGCAGCCACCTACCTGAGCCCTGCTGCTCTGCTGGCTGTAAGAGCTGGGCTGTCTGACCTGTCGCCAGAAGCCCTACTGAGGGGCAGCTTGGTGCAGAGGTAACTAATGTGCAGAACGTTCACCCCCAAATAATAGGTGGCTCTGAAGGCTAAAAAAAAAAAGTCAAAAAGTATGTTCAGTATATAGTGAGCATTTTATTCTTTCATTTCTTTGAAAACTGGAGTTTCTTTGCATTCGATATGCCTAAGGCATCTACTTGCTGTTCAGCAGTTTGCCTGAAGTAGGTACTTACTCTGTTAATGAGAATGTTTCCTTGGACGGGACTTCTTATTCCCCAACTCTGTCTGCGCCTCTGGAGATTGTTTTCACTTACTGTAAATGTCTACAGCTCCAGAATCCAAAACTCGTCCTGGTGAGTATGCACAGTAAGAGAGAGACAAAAGAATATGTCTTTAATTAGGTGATATGAGGACAGTACTTTGATTATCTGCTGCTGTGTCAAAAACACTCCAGAAGTTAGTGGCTTAAAGCAACACCAATCATTTTGTTATTTCTCATTCTTCTTAGAATTGGCTGGGCTCAGCCAGGCAGTCCTTACTCAGGGCCTCGTGTAGTTACAGTCAGGTGATGGCCAGGACTGGAGGCACCTCAAAGGCTTTCTCACTTAACATTTCTGGCAGTTGATGGTAGGACCTCAGCCTGCCCCATCATCTACATACATACACACATCCATGTAAACCAAGACAACATATGGCAACATAGCACAGGGCTCAACAAAGATAATCCAAGATTCAAATTTACAACATTTCTATCTATAGATTTGGGAAAATTAAACTTAGTACATTAAATATCCATTTTAAAAAATCACAACAACAGAAGCTATGATCAAATTTGATATCCATTATGAGTAAAAATACTGAATTGATTTCAATGGAAATAGTTCAGAAAAGTAAAGGAAATGGTTTGAATGTATTGCATAGAAAATGGATCAAGGAATTAAGTTGGCTTTAAGGCATTACTTTAAAAAATATCTAATACACAAAAATTAATTGATAATTGGTGTGATTCTGATTGAAATATTTTTTATTTGCTAACTTGGAATCAAAGCAAGGGGATTAAAAATGCTCTGTTGTTAAGGAGCTTGCATTCTGCAAGAGGAGCAGAGATTAAACAGGTAACTGGACCAACAGCTACAGGGTCACATTTGGGTTAAATAAGTCCTGGGCGATATCCATAGCACCCTGTGGCAAACATAAGTGGCATGCGCAAGCGCACACATGCACACACGCACACAAGAAGTGGAGGGCCTTTTCTCGTCTGTCAGCACCAATTGTCTATGTCACTGATTTTGACATATTGTCACAGAAGTTTTCTCTCTAAGTACATAGAATGTCTCCTGAAGGCCAAAGTAGCCTACAGTTGTTTTATAAGGCCCCAAGGTGCATATACATATAATGGGGCCTTAATACTTATTGTAAGAGTGAATGAATCAATGGCTGATTTTAGTTAATATGTACAGTCTACCATGTTGTGCTTTTAAGTACTTCACAAATTTTTCATAAACTGGTCATTCTTTTTATCCCAGAGTCAAGACCCAGAGAAGTGGCGGCCTGAGAAGGGGGCATGGGTCCCTAGTGCATTAGCATACTGGCCCAGACTCCCTCTCTTCTAGTTCTGACTCCTGCGTTCTCCCCACCCCAGCTATTTCCAAGCACTCAGCTAATCTGAGTCAGAAGTGATTTGGGAAGGAAGCATCGTAGGGGGAGAACACAAGGGATCCAGGTGAAACTTCCAAGCTGTTAATAAAGATGAAAACGCTGCTGCATTGCGCACCCCAGCCACTTGCCAGCTTTGCTCAGTGACCCTTCTTCTGGGAGCTCTGACCTCCAAGGGCCTTGGAGGCAGCATTGCCACAGTGATTAAAGATGGGGCTGGGGAAAGAAGGCCCAGAGGGAAATAAAGAACCTCACTTGGCTGCTAATCACTGCCGTGCAGCTGAAACACTCCCAAGCTGGCTACTTCGGGAGAAGAGGCCTCATTTAATCAGCCTCAAGAAGAAAATGCACCAAGAGCCCCTTGAGTTGGCCTGAAGGCTTCAGGGCAGCCTGGTCTGTTACCTGCAAGCCTGCCTGGGAAATGTACTGCGGGATTAGTGATGCTTACATCCCTCGTCTTCCCTGATTCCCTTCCTCAGAGGGCCTCTGAGCACAAAAGGTTAAAATATACATGTATACACACATACATATATGTATGCATGTTATGCACACACGTCCAATACACATACATAAATGTGTGTATATGTTTGTTTTCAATAATTCCTGGCCAGCTTCCTGCTTTGCTCTGTCGCTGGTACACAGCTGAAGAACTTCGAGTACCCAGCAGGGGGCACCCGGAGTCACTTTTTAAAAGGTGCTCCTTTCAAAAACATCTTCCATTTCTGGAATTCAGAGAGAACAGAGGTCCACAGGAAAGGTGGCTGTAGATGGACTTTAGGGAAGATACAGAATATTTCCTCCACTAACATGGAGGATTATCCAGTTTCAAAAGGATGTTTCTGGAAGAGAGAAGCCAGTGAGCATGGTCCTCTGCAGACAGTGTACCAGTGCAGGTGTGTGTGGGCACAGCTACGTGTCTCATGAGAAAACATCCAACACAGATCCTTATGAAAGAAAAGGGAGGTCCTTGGTCTCACTTGGGGACGTTTCCTCCTAAAGTAGGAAGAAAATCCCACAATGAACGGTTTGCCTTTATTTTCTAAAATCACATTGGCATGTGAGAGAAGTGAAAAGGAATTGGGCTTTTCATTATTTCTGTTGTCTTTCCATCCTACTCAAATCCGTCAGGGGACAGCCGCCTGGCTGTCTGTTCCATTCCTGCCACCCTCAGGAGAGCACTCAGTCTTGGAACTTCCTCCACTTAGGCGAGGGGGAGCCCAGTAATCTGGTGTGTTTATCGCTGCCCGTTTCTAGGCATAGGTCAACGGTCAAGTTTTCCTTATCATGAACCTTTAATATTCATGGACTTCACAGGCTACTAATTATGGTAAAGGGATTTGGGCTGGGATTCTGGTAAAAGACATCTCCGGCAGAGACCCAAGCCCTGCAGGAGAACAGCGGCAGGTGCCCTGGCTCAAGACAACTTATTCATGAGAATTCAATAGGCAGCTCTTGGGAATCACCAAAGATGCCTGGAGGAGACTGTGTGGTGTGGCTGGGCATCCCACAACAGCGGATGGCGGGGGAGAAACAAACGATTAATTACTCTAAATGTGTTCCAGTGAGTTGGTATGTCTTGGGCACAGCAGCTCATAGATAAGATACTTTAAAAAAAAAAAAAAGGTCTGGGAAAAAATCCTATAGAAGGTGCTATTCCCCTCATATTTTCTTTGATTTATTTCACTTATAAAGTCAAAAAGTCCCCAAACACCTGGCTGGTGCCCATTTGGCCCAATTCCTCCAGGAGTGTGGAGCTGAGTGGCCAGAACTAAGTCTGTTTCCCCGCCGTGTTAGCGGGCTTTCATCCCACTGAGGTGGAGGGTCCTGTGAAGGTCATGTTCTGCCTCACTGCATGGGGGGGGGGTCTCACTATGACACGATGCCTACATTGCAAGTGAAAGGATCAGTAGCACGAAGCTCACGCGGGATCTGTCTTGACAAAGCGGGGAAGTGAGCAGTTCATCAGCGAACCAGTTGCACTGAATGGCAGCTCTGGAGTCCTACACCCCTGGCTTTCCACAGCTTTTTTTCTCCCCTAGAGTCAAAGTATGGAACTCGGTGGACCATGGGTCTGGCCCAAAAGTGTAATAAACATTTTTACTCATATGGACTATTTGTTTTTTGTTTTTTAAAAATAAATCTCTTTTTCTCCTTGCAATTCCACATTTTGCTTTGCCAGTGTAGACATGACATAAATTATTATTTCACTTTGTTGAAATTCTTTTATATGCAAGACACCTGGATAGATACATAGGGGGAAACAGAGATAACCAGCACACCATTACTGCTGTTA